CTATGACGTTGAATCGCAAGCAATGGGTTTCCTTAATATTGTACTTATGATTAATTAAAAAAAATGATTTATATTTTCTTTTCATGAGAAAGTTGTGCATGCTTATCAATTTCGAAGCATTGGGGTAATTTTGTATGTTCAATAATATAGTTTATATTTTCTAATACCAATTTAATCAATTAATTCAATTACTAAACACACACAAATACTTACCACTCCATATAAAAATCTATCAAAGCAGCAATAGAATCAATTGAGGCATTTAATAAAATAAAATCAAAATTAACAAAAAAATATCGTATAAACACGAAAAAAAAAGAAAGAGAAAAAGGATCTCACAGTGCAAATTCACCCGTCTTCAAGAATCTCCCTGTGCAGATCCATGCACGAAGTGCTGCAATATTTGTAATGATACCGATGAAACGGTATTTTTCCAGCAAGCGAATCGTGGCAGCACGAGCATAATATTTCAGCCAGTAATCCCGTTCCTTGAGTTTTCATTGATGCTGCTAATCTTCTCTCAGCGGCAGCAGCTCTCTTTTCTCTTTCAGCATCTTGATTTCTTTTTCGTTCCTCCTAAATATATATTTTTTTTTAAATATCGATTTAAATAAACACTCGTAAGAAAAATGATAAGAGATATGAATACAAGTGATGATGATTTTATCGCGGTACCTCTCTAGACATTAAGGTAGAGCCGCTACTAGACAGAGAATGCCCTTTCTGAGTATGAACTGATGAAGTACTTCCGGAATTACCAACAGTAGACGAAGCATTCTGGGATTGAGCAGCTTCTGCCTGTTTGCAAGTAACGATAGTACTCTTTTACTACATCTATTGGGAAGCAAAAAAATTCAATAATAATTGTAGTAGGTAGATGAAATAAACCTGGGCCTTCTTTTCTTTAGCTTTCTTTAGTTTCTTCAACTCTTTTGCTTTTGCTTTCCTCTTTGCATCTTTCTCCGCCTGATGTGAAGTTCAAATAAAAAAACAACAGAAGGTCAGTAATTAATACATTTCGGTCTCGGACAACCAAGAACATAATATAAGCTAGCATTCATGTAAAAACTGTAATGTATGTTACATTATTTAAAAGTCAAGAATTCAAAATCCCATGTTCCAATTAAAAACACGTCAATCGGAGTAAGTACCCACTACTCGGCACATATTCAAAGCACCATTCAGAAAAAAAATACGATAAAGTTCGAACTACATATCAACAGTACTCAACATATATTAATTCAACAACCACTATTGTAATAAATTAAAAAATGAAAAATAAATTAAAAAAATAAAATTGAAGTGGAATTGTAAACCAACTATTTACCTGCTTAGCAGCTTGAGATTCCTCCATCTCTTTTGTCAGAGCACTAGGCACCTTAGCAGCATGCCAATCCCATTTCTCAAGGTTTAATGCCATAAATCGTCTGAAAGTATTTCTCACCTCCTTATCACTAGCAACCATATACGGCGTTTGGCCCCTCTCGTCTTTAGTGCAAGGATCTAAACCCTGCTCCAGAAGTTCCAGAACTTTCTCAACATTTCCGGACTTTGAAGCTTCATGCAAAGGCGTTGATATCCCAATTGTATCAATCTCCTCTTCAGACAAACCATCTTTTTCAGTCACAGTGGAATCTTCCTTGGTTATTTTTGCACCCTCCAATTTTTCTCTCAACTCCGTTTCAGTGGATTCAGATAATAGTTCGTCTTTTGTATTGGGAGCTATTTCCTTTTCCACAGTTATCTCGGAGGAGATCTGTACGAGTAACCCGTATATTCGCTTAGCTTCCTTCAAGGTAGGCCTTCTGACAGTTAGTGGAATGCTTCTTATTGCACGATGTTGACAGATAAAATAAGGTTTATTATCTCCATCGAAAAGGAGTTGTCGGTTATCTGACGGGGCGGATATAAAAATGCACGAGGCAACGGCAAAATGATTCTTCCACGAAGTAAATAGTTCTTGGATATCCTGGTTATAGAAGAATCGAGAATTAAACTCAAATTTTCTTCTACAATTAGTACATAAAAATGAAAGAAAACCAAAAATTTAACCGAAGAAGGATAAAAAAAAAGGGAACAAGTTAGAGGTTAGAAAAGGCTCGATAAATGTCAATTATTTCTGACAAACCTGAACTTATGTGTTTAACCTGATAGACAACCATATTTAGACAAGCATGGATATTAATAAACATCAAAACTATACCTTTTTAAGAGCAAACTCATTATATCGACGAAGTGAAGCTCCAGCAGAATGAATAGATCGACCGCCTCCATCTTTTGATGATTGCTTTTTACCAGCCTTGGCCCTAACAACATACCTACATTCAAGGTACCAAGAGACTTAAATTTCTATGTTAATGTCAACCACGGTAAGGAAAAACAAGTACAATATGCATTTCTTCTATGTTGAAATTTACTACAATAATAAAAAGAAAAACTGCATGTTGAATACCATCAACAATTATTATTATAAAAAACTTAAACACTTGTATACAAATACTTATAGAAAAAACTGCAAGTTCTATACCATCAATAGTTATAATTGAAAATAATAATTGAATGACAAGACACATGAACACTTCCTCAAAGTAAGACAAAAACAAAACATAATACATTTTAAATAGACACTTGCCAAAACTTTCAGCATGCACTGCACTCCACGAGCAAATATAAATACTATAATAGTTGCACGAGCATACCTAAACTTACGTATTTTTAGCACCGATTAAGAAATAGTCCATTTTTGGACATTTCTGGCCGGAATCAAAATCACGTGCCTTGCACGTGAATATAGCAGGGGTAAAATAGTATTTTCCCCTCAACCTCCTTCATATTTACAATCCTTCTTCTTCCCACCTCCCTTAACCGTCACTCTCACTTTCTCTCTCACACACCCACACCCACACACACACACACTCACAAATTCACCTTCCAGCTTAATTGCAACTGAGAATTTCAAAAAAAAGAAAAAGAAAAGAAAAACCCAGTTGTTGATAATCAATCAATCATCTCCTCTGTTTGTTAAATCAAAGACAGAGGAATGAGTTCAACTCTGCTCTACAACCCAATCAACCCATCAACAGCGCTGTATTCAAGAACCCCTTTTCTAATTCCCAAGGATTTTCCGGCGGGGTTGTCACCGAACCAGAAACCCCTCTCGAGGAATCCAGAAAATGGGTTCTCCAAGAAATTTACAACCAGAGCCAAGGCCGCCGCCGCCGTGGCCGAGTCGGCAAGAGCCGAGCCGCCGTCTAAGGAAAAGAAGAAGATGAGGTTTTTGGTGGCCGGCGCCGGAATTGGGGGGCTGGTTTTCGCTTTGGCGGCGAAGAGGAGAGGGTTTGACGTGGTGGTGTTCGAGAAGGATTTGAGTGCAATTAGAGGGGAGGGGCAATATAGGGGGCCGATTCAGATACAGAGCAACGCATTGGCTGCTTTGGAAGCCATTGATATGGATGTTGCTGATGAGGTTTTGAGCTCCGGCTGTATCACCGGTGATCGGATTAATGGCTTGGTTGATGGCATTTCTATTACATTTTTTAGGGGAAAATACTATTTTAACCCTGCTATATTCACGTGCAAGGCACGTGATTTTGATTCCGGTCAGAAATGTCCAAAAATGGACTATTTCTTAATCGGTGCTAAAAATAGGTAAGTTGAGGTATGCTCGTGCAACTTTTTTCCGTTCAGGGGGTAAAGCGCAAAAACGTCCAAAGTTTAGGGGATTTTTTGCAGTTAACCCTACATTTTAAATAGACACTTGCCAAAACTTTCAGCATGCACTGCACTCCACGAGCAAATATAAATACTATAATACGGATGGGATGCAATGAAGACAAGCAATTCTTTGAGGGTTAATATTTTTTTTGAAAAAGATCGAACAAAAAGTTGGTTTAAAACACGAGGCTATGTGTAGGCTCATAGAAAATAAAGTCGTCACATAAGAAATAAGTGCTAAGCTATTTCCTCTAGAGTGACACGACAGGTCAGAATGTCAGAAATGTATTCGCTTGTAAGAAAACTATCATAAGATTAGAAACTAAACCTGTGAAAAGTTTTATGAGCCACAAGAGAATTGCCATCAAAGACACACCCAGCGAAGTGACCACCAGTCGCAAGTAAAACTATCCTTAATCGGGTATTATCTCTAGGTTCACGAAGAACGTATTTCAGTTTTTCGATCACTTCTCCCTGGGTCAAATTTATAACCCCATGAACATCCATGAGAAGCGACTTGTCGGTTTCGAACGAAATATGTTCAGACTCATCGAGTAGCAAACATCTCCAAAATGAAACTCTCTCCCCATTTTGCAACTGTACGAATACTTTACGCTTTGAAATTCCACCAAATTCATACTGTCTCCTCTCATCCTCATCTTCCGATCCAGAAATACTCGATACGTCAAAGTCTTGACACAATGAATCAGACATCGCTCCATCGAAATCTTCCTCTTTAATGATGTTTTTCCCAGCAACGCTTAGCTTTATCTGAGATCAGAAACTGCATTGTAAATCAAGCTGTGAAATAAAGAAAACGCATGTTTTCAACAATACAAATTGTTAGAATAAATTAGCAACTCCATCCTTATCGCAATTTTAAAAACAAATTTGCAAAGAAATAATTCTCGAGACCAAGGTTTATGCACTCAGATTTAACATTTCTATATGAATAATACTAGCAATGAATTAATTCTCAACACCAAGTAACAATCCTTATGCTACATACAATTTTTGACCTAAACTAACAAAAACTGGCTACAGATTATCACATGTAAAATATCTTCAGAATGAATCCTTCAAACTCAAATTCAGCTTATTCAATAAGGTAAACAATTTGAAAAATAATCAAATTAAATACAGGAGGAGAGCAAAACAAGCATACATTGAAGCGATGGAGATCGGATTTGAAGTGAAAGCGCTGGTCTGGGAGAGACTCGAACTCAGCCTTACAAGTGTTGCAAGACCATCTCTGCATAGCTTTAGCATGATTTTTACCATCGTTCTCGTTATCAATTTCGATTGAATCCTTCTCCGATTTTGATTCTTCTACGGCGCCGTCGTCGAAAACGTCGAATTCCGGCAGCGAGGAAAGAGGGGAAGGGAGGAGGCGGCATGAATCGAAGAAGTCAGGCGGGAGTTCGAATACCGAACGGTGTCGTTTTGTGTCCTCTTGTTTGTTTTGCTTCCGCGGATGTGGTTTCACTGGCTTTTCTGTGGCTGCGGCGGTGGTGGCGGCGGCTTCGCTCGCCATTGCCGTCAAACCGTTTGGTCACGCAGTTTATAAATTTTTTAATCTTATTTTAGTACTACGATTTATCAGGTTTTTTCTCAGAAATATGAACATTTACTAAAACATATTAGTTTTTCATCCCTAGAGTTTGCATTAATTACACACTTGGTCCCATATGTTCACAAAAAATACATTTAGTCTTTTATGTTTAAATAATTCAACACTTTTAGTCATTTTCGTAATTTTCTGTTAAAACTAACGGAATCGAGCGTGTGTTCATCACTGCCTTGGATAACGAACTAACGATAAATTGATGGAAATAACAAAAAATGTTGAATTATTGATACATGAGGGACCAAATGTATTTTTTGTGAATATGGGGGACCAAATATAAAATCAGTGTAAATTTGAGGGGTGAAAACTGTAATTTCCCCTCAGATTATTTATACCCGAAAACCCCACGATTTTATTTTTCGTCAAACAACTCTTTTCACCAACTTTCTTCTAATTACATTCATTTTCGTTTATTTTGTAATAAATGATTAGAAAATCTAATTTGTGAACACTGAATATAAAAATGTTTGTTCGTTTATAAATTCAGTTTTTATATTGTAATTTAAAATATAAAACTGGTCCAATTACTTTTTGGGCCTCAAAGATCTAACCCATATATAAATACAAAAAGTAAATGAAACTACTCTTCATTGACTTGGGCTCTTGGCAGTTGCCTTGTTGCATTGGGCCAAGATCTACCCTAGTCCCTAGCTTAGACCTATTGCATGAAGGCACCACTCATTGTGTGCATTTAATTCTTTTTTTATTTTTTTTAATAAATAAACTCACAGTCAACCATATAGGTGCATTAGTAGACGTAAACTCTCATATAATAGCTTGTAAACTATACGAGAAACAAAAACCACATTAGGTTGATTACATGTGATAAGCCTGACCTAACGACTGTTAGCAAATTAATTCAAATTATAATCAATTGACGCAAACTCGCTTGATCCAATTGCTAAACCGGGACAAAATATTGTGAGCATTTAATTCTTAAAAATACATCACAAATGCATACATAAATGTTGTAAATCTATACAACTACATGGTCTAGTGTAACCAATAAAATTTACCAATTTGATAGGTACATCACATAATAAACTCTATATAACCAACACACCAACCTCTTTAAATATTAAATAGACAATTAATGCATTTAATTATTAGTGCAGTCCACTAATTCTTGATTATCGCACAGTCAAAAGGAAGTCTTCTTCTCTTAAACAAAAGAAAAAGAGAAGGTTGTCGTTATAGATTAGAATAACCAACTTTTTTTTAACTTTTGTTTGTTAATTTAACCGCCATTGTCTTCATCTTGAAATTTTAAAAACCTGACAATATTTTCTCTCTCCACGTGCTTCACACGGGCCCACATCATCACAACCGACACATCAAATTCAGCTTATACATTTTCATTTTTGTTAATGAAATAAATAAATAATTCATACGCTCGTAAATATGTTAATTACCAGGAAAACCAGCGCAGCAATAACCATGAAAATTTCGATACAGAGAAAAAAAAAATCACTCTCTCTCATAAATATGTTAAAATTAAACACACAATAAAAACGAAAGAAGAAAAAAAGAAACCCTAATTTAAAGTTCTTCCTAGAAGCAGTGGCAAATTAAACAAAAACAATTTGACTAGGAAAATATATAATAAAAGATAAATAAATAACGCAGACGTGGGTGAATTGACGATTTAGGACATGAAAACGAAAGCAAATAACGAAACTGACACTGTGAGCATCAGCGTTTTCATCGTCGCCGGAGCTTCCAAAAAGCCGCCGGCATTGTCGGAGGTACTGTTCTGAGAGTCAGCAGTGGGTCCTTCCGACGGCGCTCCGTCGGGTGAGCTTGTCGGTGGGGCTGGGGGAGATAGCATAGGAGTTGGTGCCGCAGCAGATTCCGGAGCCGGAGCATCGGCGGCCGGCGCCGGCGATGGAGAAGTCTCCGGAGCTGGACCCGGCGCCGGAGATGGAGCCTTCCCGAAAAGCTCAACCGGAAGAAGCAAACTGTCGACGGTGAAAATGCAGAGGGGAGTGGAGTCGAGTACAGTCGACGCGATTCTGGACGTGTCCACTCCGGTGTCGAGACTCACTGAGTCACCGGCTGTCTTCACGCTGAGGTCGTATTTTCCGGCGCCGTTGGTGGCGAGGGTGGAAATCTTACCCTTCGTCTGTTTCAGAGTTCCGATGGGAGCGTAACTGGCGAGCGCGTGGTATTGGAGGATCGAGACCACCTCAGCGTTGGAGAGCGTGCTCAGATCTGGTACGCCGGCCGCCTTGAACGCCTCATCGTTGGGCGCGAAAATCGTCAAACCCTTGTCTAACGCCGACTCGTACACTTTCGAAACGCCGTTGGAAACAATCAGAGAGGCGAACGTCTTGCAGCCGGCCTTCACCAGTAACGCCGTGATGTTGACGTCGGCAGACGGCGCCGTCAGAACCGCGGCGGGGGCGATCGCCTTGCTCACCTCGATAACGGAGACGTTGTACGGGATTTGCTTGACCGACTTGGTGTAAGTGGAGTCGAGCGGCGAACCGGCAACGCCGGATCCGAATCCGACCTTCCCTCCCTTCAAATCGGTAATGTTGACGAATCCGAGATTTCCGTCGGCGTTTCCGGTGGTCTGGTACAGTGTGGTGGAGAGCACCGAGCCTTCGGAGATTTTGTGGAGCTTCGGCGCGTCGAAGTAGTCGAGCAGCACGTGCAGGGCGAGGATGTTCTCCACGACGCTGAGGGGGTATTTTCCGGTGAAGGACGACAGTGCTCCGTTGGGGAGGACGCAGACGGTGACCGGTTCGCGGCTGTTGATTTCGTCGGCGAGCTTAGTTTGAGAGAGCAAGGTGTTGAATTCGCTGTACTCGGGGTAACCGTCGAGAATTTCGGTGATATTGGTGGCGGCGGCGATGGAGACGGCGGCGAGTGTGACGACGGCGAGGAGAGAGAGTGTGAGTGAGGCGGCCATTGTGGAAATGGTGGTGCTGCACTGAGACTGTGAAGCTGCAGAAAGAGAGAGTGGGGGGCTTTATCTATATTTCAGCCAAGATAAAGTAAGTAAAAAATATAATTTGAATTATTTATTATTTTTCTGTAACAATTATGTGCCATGTCAGCTTTCGAGCCGTTTGACTCTTGATAATCAAAATTTGGTTCCTATGATTACGTTTAACCGTCCGATTGATATTATTTTTTTCTTTATAAAAAAGTAAAAAACACACACAAAATAATGCAATATTTCAAATTAAAATAAAGGTAAAAAACAATATTTCATATTTATTCCTCCAATTTGATGTGATTTAACAAAAATGAAAAAATAAATAAAAAATGAAATTAAACCATGCATAATTATATTAAAAGATTTATCTACTGCAGCAGGACTTGAATTAAATTAAAGTATTTATAAAATGCTTTAATCATTACAAAGATTACATACATGATACATGCAATTTGTATGACATATTCTCCTTTCTTTTCCTTTCCCATTCAACTAGCTATTGGTTGGTATACAGTACATGCGGTGAAATACATGCGATAATTTTAAACTGACTATATCTAGACATAATATGACACATAATTGTGTGGCTAGCGGATATTTTACAATCATTCAGTGTATTTCACTGGTTATATATAGCATCTCATAGACTGTATCTATTCACAAATAGTCGTTCATAAACTTAAACTCGATACGTTAGTTGTATAAATTCATTTATTTTCTTTGAATTATTGCGATTTAAAATTCAATCGAAAATTATATGATGGAAATGTAAGATAAATGTAGTATATATTATTACATATGAAGTTTGCAATATGTAGGAAAATTCAATTGATCAATTTTTGCCCTAAAATAATTAGAAACAAAAGAAGTTTATTATTTTATGATAAAGAAAAACAAAATAAGTTACTCATTGGTACTAGTCTACTAGCTAGTGGGGTTAAAGTATCTAACCAGGGTTAACAATATGCAATTGGCTCTTGGTTAAACAAAAACGTTGAGTTGGTTTTTGGCTGGCATGTGTGAGAGAAAGTGTGAGGTTGGTATTTGTTCGTCTTTATTTCTGGGTCACAGCTGTACACCAGATCTGTATTCGGTGGGATTCGCCCTTTTCAATGAATTGACAAATTTACCCCTGAGTTTCCAAATTCTTTCTACTAATCTTCCGGTGGCTCTTGAATTGACAATTTTGCCCCTGACTTCCACTGAGATTTTGGGCCAATTGATGACCCTACGTATTAATCTCAACCATAATGAAACTGGGCCTTAGTGGGCTGGTAAATGGTGGGCCTTTAAAAAAAATAGTAATGGGACATTGGATGTGTCGGATCGAACAAATCGAAAAGAATTAAACCCGACCCGCGTGGTAGTAGAGATCGATCGAATTAATTTTTTTTATTTAATCAATTCCATCCGATTACGTGATAACTTAATTGGTGGAAAAATGAGCTCTTTCCACTCGAAAGCGGATGTAGACCGATTCTCGGTCGAACCGTGTGTCAATCGTCCATTATTGTTCATAACTTTGCATGCTTATTAGGGTTTACTGTTTCATTGCCGTAATCTTTGCTATCACTTTGTGGTTGAGATGCGTTGTCGTCATCGATCAATTCAATTGGTTAATTTCATTGTTCAGTACTCAACAATTGCGAATACATTTTAGGTCGATCTCATCACACATAGTTTGTGCATCGGGATTTTTATATATCTCATGTAGTTTGAGAGTTACTGAACGAAAATAAAATTTACCTTGTACAATTTAAGTGATTGCATGTTGCTTGTAATATAAAATCCAAAATTCCATCCAATTTCTACCCATTCCTTCTTTGAATTTTTGTAGCAATGAGAAGTGTAGTAATTCCATTTTAGTTTGACCGTTTTACCTCATTCAAACTCCACATTTTGAAACAAGATGATCATAAAATGTGTCTCTTGACTTATAAATATCAGATTGTGCTGCTATCGAAACTGTATTTTTTTTTTTTGCATAAAACGAGTACAAACTAGAGAACATTTCACATAATCTAGAAATTTTTTGTTGAATTTGACATGATAAAGGTAGACGTATAAGAAAAAAAAATCATGGTTGGGGCAATTGTAATTACCCAAACATGATAAGTTTTTTTTCTCGTAATTTGACATTACATCAGGGGGTGACCGTAATTTAATATAAATTTAAATAAAATTAAATGTTTCCAAATACATTGATCTTGCATAACCAAAGCCCACTTAACAAATTTGAAAGCATAGCCCAACGCTTTTATACATTCATTTGCAATGTAAAATTAAGCAGCCCAAAACACCTATACATAAGAAGTCCAATAAGAGAATCCTTTTATTTCACTTTCCCCCTATTATTTTCTTATTTGCAAACACGCCCTTTATTATTTCCTCTCGACAAAAGTCTGTGTACTTTATATTTGAAAAAAAAATCCCAGACCTCCTGCCAAAAAGCTGACATGACAAAACTCTTACATATACTTACAAATTACAATTACTTCTCTCTCTCTTCTTTCTCTCACACACACTGCCACACACACACACAGAGAAAATGTGGCAGCAGAAGGGGGTGGTGGTATCTGCATGCGCGTAATCCTTGCTTGTCTTTCCTCTCTCTCTCTTCTTAATTCAATTCCAGGCGGTTTTGATTTTAGCTTTTCTTTCTCCTTATTCAATTCACGTACATCATATATATATATAGATATATATATACACACACACACAAGAATAGTGTGCGGTGTGTGTGGCAGAGTTGCTTTACAGTGACAGAGAATTCAGAGCACCACTGTTTGAATATATATAAACAGGATATATGTATGTATTTATTGCCGATGCATTCCCAACTACTCCTCCCCACTACCGCAGCACCACCTCCAGGTTTTCTCTCTTTCTCTCTCTAGCTTTCTCTCTCTCTCTCTCTCTAACACACACAATACAAACACTTGAATTTGATGGGTTTTGGATGTATGAAGGAAATGAAGACGATGATGGTTGTTCATTAAGAGAAGATTCTGGTGAAAGGATCAATCTTGAGCTTGGGATTGGACGGTGTGGATTAATTGCAGATGAAATTATTAAAATTAAACAGGAAAATAAATTAGATTCCATTTTCAGTGCTGCTCAGTTTAATGAATTATGTAACCAAATTCATATCTGGAATCTTATAAACTCTGGTTTGCCTGTGCCGTTTCATATTTGGATGAGTGTTTTTACTTCCTTCGGCCCTTCAATCTGCAACACATACCCTAACAGTAAGAGTATTCTCTCTCTGCTTCTTTTTTTTTTTTTTTTTTTTTTATGAAATGGGTTTTTAGTTTTAATTTTATGAAATGGGTTTTTAATTTTAATTTTAATTTTAAATCAATTGGCTAATGCATTTTAAATTATTTTTTATTTATTTTATGAAATGGGTTTTTAATTTTAATTTTAATTTTATTGGCTAATGCATTTTAAACTTTTTTATTTTATGAAATGGGTTTTTAATTTTAATTTTAATTTCAATTGGATGCATTTTATTTTTATTTTTAAATTTTATGAAATGGTTTTTTATTTTTAATTTCAATTAGATGCATTTTAATTTTTTTTTTTTTATGAAATGGGTTTTTTAATTCTAATTTCAATTGGCTAATGTATTTTAATTTGAATTTATTTATTTATTTTTGAATCATAGGTTTCTGTACTAAAAGCTGTGATCATACTAGTAGTGAAATGGACACTGAACCAGGGAGGTGTAAAAGAACAGATGGGAGAAAATGGAGGTGTAGTAAAAGCGTGCTTCCACACCAGAAATACTGCGAACGCCACATGTACAGAGGCCGCGGTCGAGGTTCTTCATCGACAAGAAAACACACTAGTACACCTACTGAAGGTGTTCGTACAAGTGACGAAAACATCGATGGTTTATCGGCAATTCAGACAGCCATTTCTGCTCAAAACATGACTTACATGGAACAACGCAATGGCGTATTTGGTTCGTCTCCGAAGAGTGTTCTTCGTGATTGTGCAGGTTCGTTTTACTTTGAAATTTCAATGCGTGTAGATATTACGAGAAAGTATACGCGCCGCTAATTGTTGTTCGTAAACATTAAGCACGTTTTTAGTATAGAGCCAGGGGGGCATGGCCCCCGACGTTTCTTAACAACCTAACGTTTAATATAGAGGTCGATTAAGTTTTAGTAGCCTAGTAATGTTGCTCTCTAGCGTACTTTTAGGACTCGTTCGGTTACAAACGTAATTAAGAATTGTGATTCTATAGATAATAAGCGATCACTAATCTCGATTTCTTTTTTCTTTTTCCTTTTTGTTTTTTGCACGAAGTAGGTAAAGTCAATCTGGAATTGGGCAGTAAGGGCAATACAGTAACTTCACCACAGAGATGCCGAAGAACAGATGGCAAGAAATGGCAATGCAGAAGAGATGTTCTCCCCAATCAAAAGTACTGTCAAGTGCACATGCATAGAGGGGCGAAAAGGCTCGTTTTGAATCCGGAATCTTCCAGGAAAGTTCCGGAAGGTTCTACTCGGATAGCTCGTATTTCTTGTACAAGTCTCGGAAACAACATCAACTTGAACACTGTGCCAGCAAGTCCTCACCGACACGTCACTGAGAACAATTCAACTAGCAGCAGCACAAGTGATGCCACTACCATCACAGATGAAAACATTAGCTCTTGTCTTAAAAACTCATTTTGATAGAAGTCGTTTTGACTTGAGTTTCGGTTTTGGTGGTACCTTAAAAACTTGATGTATAGTTTTTTTAAGTTTTTCGGATGGACGTATTTTGGTACCGTTAGTTTTCTTTGTTTTGTGCCTCTTATCAATTGTGCCCTTATATTGAGATATAAAGTTGATAAATGAGAAAATAGGTAAGATCAAGATTTATATCTATGTGTATTATTGTGTGTGAATTAAAGGTGTAAAACTACCCGATGTATATCACTAGACGAGAGTGGGAGAGGAGCAACTGAAAATAGATAACATGAGACAACATTTTTACAACATTTCGATGAATACGGGATCATACAAATGAATTTTGTACGTTCGTTTCTCCAAGTTCTAGTAGTTCAACATGAAAGATTACAGAAACTAAAAACGAAAAAAAAAACACGATACGTCAGCTACTTTGGGCAGACGGGGTTGACATTCTTAACTATCCAAGGATGTTCCATGATTTTTTCCAACGAGAGCCTTTTCGAAGAATCCTTTACAAGAAGCTGCATAAAAGGCCAGACAAATCAAGAAAGCCAAACAAAAAATTAAAAATAAAAATAAAAAATATCCATTCATTTAAACTAATTTGAACCGACGACAGATGTACAAAATTTACCCTGCTAATGAGATCTTTAGCTTCGGCGCAAATGTCGGGGGAGGAAGGAAAGCTTAGATCAACCTTCATAATCCTACAAAACTCAACCTTAATCAGAATGTAATAAATGAAAAAATGCAGTGTGAAGAAAGAAAGGTACACTATTGTTTCTTATTATTACCTTCTAAACGTGTCTTTCTGGCTTTCAGCCTCGAACGGAGGGACACCGTATAAAAACTCGTAACAGAGTACGCCCAGTGTCCAATTATCCACCGCCCAGTCGTGGGCTTTGTTCTCCACCATTTCTGGTGCTAAGTAGTCCAAAGTTCCACACATTGTGTGTCTTTTACTTCTGGATTGGACAGACCAACCGAAATCCGCAATTTTAAGACGTCCCTATAACCGATACATAAAGGCAATCGTAAGTTTTTTCTATCCTCAAAATCTACCGTTAGGCGAACTCGAGTTCACTATTTTGTGCTTGTTACAGGTATATACAGTTGAGCTCATTATAATCAAGTACGTGTCATAAAGCCGTACAACTATCGCAGTCTGATATATTTGGAAAGGTTTACCGGAGTAAATACAGAAAATTAAGACAAAATCGATGGAGTTGTAAAAATAAAGAGACAGAACTAACAAATTTATCAGACTAAGCCTTAGAAAAATTACCTCATGATCGAGCAACAAATTTTCGGGCTTGATATCTCGGTGAATCACATGCTTTTCATGACAATATGCCAGAGCTTGTGTAAGACTAGCTATGTACTGATTTTCAAGAAAAAAATAAAACCATCAGGTCAGAATATAGCTCAAAGTTTCAAATACGAAAAAAATGAAGCCCGACAAAACCTCAAATAGACTGACAAGCAAGCACACATAAAGGGAGCATCCAAACATGGATTATAATAAAAAGAAAAACTCAACCACAAATACATAGTCAGAGACAACTAAGAGAGAATAAAGAGAAGATAAAAATGGGGTTTTTACTACCGTGGCAGCTTTTCTTTCGGAGAGATTTCCCAATTTGCGGAGTTCTTTGTAGAGTTCGCCGCCATGGGCGTACTCGAGGATCAAGAAAATTCGTTCATCGTCGTGAAACCATCCGTAAAGCCTCAGAACATTAGGGTGCCTAAGGCCTGTTTGGATCTCCATTTCCCTGCGCAACTGGTGGTGCAATCTGTACTTCTCTATTTGCTCCTTGAACACCACCTTCAGCGCCACTATGTAATTACTCTGCCAAACAAAATCACACACACACACACACATAGAAAATTTCAGGAACAAATTTTTTTTCAAAAAAAAAAAGAAAAAGATTGACGCTTTGTGTTGAGATTAGATTAAGCAAGTTACCTTGATTTCGCGGGCGAGATATACTCGACCGAATTTCCCTTTGCCGAGGGGTTTGCCGATGTCGAAATCGGAGATAGACCATTGCCTTTTGGGTGTTTTAAGGGGTTGTTTGGGGGGTTTGAGTGGATTACCGGTCATCGGATTTGGTAGAAATTGGGAATGCGAAGTGACAGAATGAAAAAAATTTGGGGAATTAGGGATTTGGGATTTGATCGGAGTTGTGGGAGGGAAACGGGGGTATTTGAATTTGTGTGTTCAATTCAAACCGGATCTCGAACCCGGGTTCATACTTAATAAAGGTTACTTTCACATGTCCGGGTCGGGTCAACAAATTGAGCATAACTATTTTGTTTTTTGTTTTTGACAAAGTAATTTATTTATCTCTTTATTTGGACATGCTTAAATTTCTTCATAATTTTGCTATTAAATGTGACAGTTTTAAAGATTTTATTTAACTTAGGAACATTATTTATTACACTTCTCAAATATAAAAATTCCTCAAAAGTTGGTACCTAGCCGTTACCAATAGGGTAACGGTCTAGGGTTCGAGTCCCCCCCTCCCCTACTTCCCCTTGTAATGGACTTGAATTTACTCAAAAAAAAATCGGTTTATATTATCATTTTTTTGTTCTGGTGAAAGTACCAATTTTCCGGTTAAAACAATGAAATATAAGTATAGTAGAACCTCTATAAATTAATAACCTCATTTAAATAATATATTTTTTATGTCCAGACTTGAAGGCAATGTGATGAAAATATTTCGTTAAATTGGTAAAATTTGACTAATCCCGATTGTAGTAATTTATAGAGGTTTAACTGTACTATGATCTCATTCAGAAGGGTTAGCAAAGGAAGAAAAAAAAAAAGCAAGTTAATTTGGAATAAATTTATTTACTCTTATTTTGAACAATTAGTTTTTGAATAAATTATGATATATTTGATCCCAACTTTATTAATATGTTAACCCTGAAAATCATGCAACCCACATAATTAAATGAAAAGATTCCATTTTACACACAAAATATACATTTTAAATACATATAATGTTCTTATCAAAAAAAAAAAAATACATATAATTCAATAGACAATTTCAAGGCAAGGGGATACATGTAGGATAAATTCTACTTTATACTATATACCATGTAACATGCATTAACAAGCCATATGGCCAGAGTATATAAATACATGTAAGATAAATTCTATTTTCTGACTTTTTTTTTTATTGAAGTTTTACATGTTAATAATAACTATATTTTCTCAAGCCATTTCTTTTAATGAAGACGACGTGTTAACCTAGCTAGCGCCAAACTCCCGGTTCCACTTTTCGATCTCTTCCCACTTGCTTTTCTTTAAGCTAGGTCTAATAACAGTCATCGCCTTCTGAAAATCTCCGAGTTTTAATCCCCTAACCTGCACATATTTTTCAAGAGTGTGTGGATTGTTTGGTAAATAGTTAAAAACTTTCGATTCAGCCCAAGATTTTACAGCTAACGAGTAAAAATTACCTGATTTGCCTGGACAGTAAGAATATTTGAACCGAGCTCTCTGATGGGCATCATTGCAGCTTCCCCACACAATGCCTGTAGGTCACTTCCAGAATATCCTATAAATTTAACATTGCCACGAATTAAAAGACGTACAAAAAAATTGTTAATCGGGTTTTGCTGAGAAGCAATATTCACATACGTAACTAAAGTAAGTTTTACTGACTATTATAGACCATTTATTATTTATTCTAGGGTAAATTACACCCACACCCCTGAGGTATACTTAAATAACTTTAAGGTCTCTATGGTATCGATAATTACACTCACCCCCTTGAAACGTAGTTATAAACTCTAATGGTATAATGCATTGGATACGTTATTACGATAGAGTTCTAACGGACTATTGGTTTCAGGAAGTGGTGAAGACAACAAAGAGTTATGAGTGATTTAAGAAATATTGGGGGAGCCATGTCACCCCATAACTCCCCATAGCTCTATGTTATCTCCATAACTAGCTAAAAGTAATAGTCCATTAGAACCCTATCGGAATAATGTATCCAATGCATTATCCCGTTAGATTTTTCAACTACCTTTCAGGGGGGTGAGTGTAATTATCGATACCACAGGGACCTTACAGTTATTTAAGCATACCTCAGGGGTGTGGGTGTAATTTACCCTTTATTCTAATATATAGTTAAAGAAACCCTGGAGACTGGAGTGATCAATTCATCCCGGTTTCTTAGGTGTGAATTAGTGTGATAATTACTTATTAGTTGCATCCGTTGGGTAGTTTTTCCGCACAGCTATTTATCAGGTTTAATCACTTTCCTCTGTGTGTGTGTGTGTGTGTGTGTGTGTGTGTGTGTGTGTGTGTGTGTGTGTGTGTGTGTGTCTTACCATCTGTTTCAGCGACAAGTCTCTCTAAATCTCTATCTGTTTTCCAAGAACAAGAAACAATGTCAAATAACAGAATTCAAGCTGTGCACATAAGGGATGTGACCAGGATTCGTCGAGCTAAAATTATGATCTGACCTGGCAAAGAGAATGCATGGCCCTTGAGCTTATGTTTCAAAAGAAGTCTTCTGGCATTTGCATCCGGCAAAGGTATGTATATTCTCTTCACCTGTTTCAATATTTCGACACATGAAGAAAAAAAACACGTTCACTTAAATCCACCCCAGCTATATATTTTAAGCTTATAGGGCAATCTTAAATATATCACAGGTCCATCAACATTGAACTTGGAGCCAATTAGTCCAAGATTTATAGTACTTGAAACAATTTTTTAAACATCTATAAAAAGCCGACTTGTTTGTAGGGTAAAATACTAGAGATACGTGTCATAGATTTTTTTGGAAAAAAGTTCACACGAATGAGAATTTCACCACTCAGTTCATAAATAAAAATGCTAACGAGCAAGTTAATAATTTTTTGCTAACCAGTCTTCTGAGAACTGCATCATCCAACTCTTGGGGTTTATTAGTCGCACCTGCAAAAGCATAAGAATACGTCTGAGAAGAGAACCACAGCATAGTCAATTATAGATTATAACATCTGCATAATTTTGGCACCTTAAGTTAGTCTATTTAGAACAAAAAGACGATGGCATGAGTAGCATCATTCCTTAAAGATAAGCATAAGTTACATTGATGCGTGGTACAAGGAAAATATCAATGTGGTTAAGTTCACATATTTGGATCTTAGCAGCTGGCTTTTTGAAGGCATAACAGTTGCTTGGAGAGGAAGATAAAATCAAGACAAATAGAGAAAATACACGAGACTCAGAATCACACAAAAAGACAATCAAGCTCCATATAAGTATCTGTAAGCAGTAAAATCCACAAGTGCAGTGAACACAAGAGCTAAGAATGCAAAGTTTACCAATGACAGTGACTAAATCACCAGAACTTGATGCTACCCCATCGAACTGAACGAGAAACTCCGACTTCAGCCTTCTACTTGCTTCATTCTCATTCTCTGTTCTTGTTGACATGATACTATCAATCTGTACAACAGGAAGTTTGTGAATAGTTGTATAAGCACCAAGCAGCCATCAATAGATCATAAATATGGAAATAAGAAAGCATGGGCACGAAGAAAAACAGGTAATTACTAATAGCAAACTACAAGCGTAGAGAACAAAAGATGATCAGATGCAATTGAGGTACAAAAACTCGGTTCTTAAGGGAGGCGGTAGGATGTGTTTAAGCAATCATTTTCTTGATAAAGAGAGCCACTTATATCCACTATTTCAATTAATGGAAGTTTTCAATGGAGTAAAAGTCAAAGGGTAAGCCACGTAAGGGTAGCAGCTAAAAATCACATATATGAACCCGACGTTCAACACTCGAGCCAGTTCAATACCTCGTCAATGAAAATTACAGATGGCTGCCTGGAAATGGCAACCTGAAAAAGGGTTCGAACAAGCTTTTCACCCTCTCCAACCTGACATCATACATAAGAATTTTAGATATTATAACTAACAGAACAAGGGCTTAGAACCTGTTAGGGAGGGAGAGAAACAGACAACACGCACCCACTTAGACGTCAAGGAAGAAGCAGAAACACTAAAAAAGGTAGCATCGGATTCTGAAGCAACTGCTTTTGCAAGCAGGGTTTTTCCTGTACCAGGTGGTCCAAAGAGAAGTAATCCTGCCAAAACACTAACTCTTTACACTTCCTGGTCAAAGAAATAAATATTGCTCAGTCTGCTAGAAATTGGATTATGAAGTTAATACTACCCTTGGCTGGCTTTCGAAGTCCAGTAAAAAGGTCTCTTCTTTTAGTCGGCAGAATAACCATTTCCAGCAATGCTTGTTTTGCCATCTCAAGCCCAGCTGCAAGGGCATTTTTATCTCGAGATGAAAACCATAAAACGGATAAAAAGAAAAATCATCAGGAAATGACATCCCCTTACCAATGTCTTCCCATTTAACTGCAGGGCTATGATCGATAATCACAGAATTTATCATTTCTACCAGTTTAGAATCATAGCCACCGCCAGATTCCTGTACAGGTCTTGTCGTCTTTGCGTTATTAACCTGACTCCTCATAGCAGGAGCACCACTGCTAAGACTAAAAGACTTTTGAACTGCCACTTTTCTTGGATGCGAAGCTGTAGATGGAAGTGCCCCAGTTTGTGACTTAGGAGAAGTACTCTAAGAAAATACACAGAACAAAAAAGAAATTAGGTCAAACTGGTGGTTGATTCCAGTACATTCTCCATTTTACTTGAGCAAAACAAAAAAAAAAAAGTGAAGAAAGAAGAAAGAAAGGAAGGCAAATTCTTCCATCCCAACTCGATGCACAGATCAATATTCTTAATCTAATAACATATTTTTCCTTTAATGATCTATGCACTAATTAGCACATAAAAGTTCTCCTCGAACATATGTTAAATCAAGCAAAGATACAATCCGAAGTTTAAAACTTACACGTCAGTTAGAGCATTCCATACCTTGATTTCTGATGATCCACCTAGACAATCGATAGGGCAAGGAGGAAGAAACAAAATCGACAAAGTAAGTGCTTAGCCATCAAGTGCTTGCATCATCATTTTCAGGAAGAAATGCAAAGATTCAAGCAAATATTAACCTGTTCTTCGAGCCAAAGTTTGCAATCTCTCTGCTACCTGGGTTTGCCATTTTGATATCTTTTCACGATAAGATTTCACCTTCTCCATTTCACTGTCGAAAATTTATGAAAAAGAACATCGGAAGTAAAGATTCACCAAGCATTTTAAATTCCACGTCGTCCAATGTGGAGTGCAAAGCATAATATCCTCATAAAAACACAATCATCTTCAAAATAAGAGAATGTACTTAAGCAATTCATGGAGACTGTTAATTCCTACAAACGACGAGCCTTCAACCAATAGGATCTAATTGGTATACACCATAGCAAAGATTCCACTATTGAACTCATTCAATAATTTTGGGCATTATATCGATCATATCAAACGACAGCTTTATATGATCCACGGAACAGTTAATCCACGTGCAAATTCAGAGAAGTTAAATTGAACCTCACACATTAAACACTTCAATCAATAGAAACAATCTTCTGGTACCTGGAGGAGATGTAAGAAGGAACTGGAGTGGAAATCGCTTCACTGAGTATCCTCCGCGCATTATTGTAACATGAAACGGCGTCGTCTGGTAAACCCCACTCTTCAGCCCTAACAGCTTTATCAATTTCCTCTTTGGCCAAATCGAAGTAGCCTTTCAGCTTATACGCAGTCCGCTCGTTCCCCGTCGAAACGCCGCCCTCTCCGTCCATGGCTCCTCCGCCGGCGGCGCTGGAATTTGTCTGCGATTGAATCGAGATCGCCCGGTATTTTTCAATCAACTCCTTGAATAAGTACATATCTGGAAAGTATTAATCCGTTAGGTTACGCAATTTGTGGGTTTTCTGAGAAGAAACGAATTGAAGAGAAAAAAACAAAAAAAAAAAAGGTGGGCGCAATTTTTCCAATTCAACGAAGGGAATTTGCATATCGTTTCGTACAATTTTACTACTTGAGAGTTGAAATTCCACGCCTTCGAACAATTTGACTTGATGATACGGCGGATAATTATTTTCAGGAAGAAATACCTAATTAATTAGTAACTTGCTATTAGAAATTAATCGGGAAAAATATTGCACCGATTTCACATTTAGTCCCTTATATTTACGAAAAATATATTTGATCCATTATTTTTAAAAAATTCAACACTTTTAATCATTTACGATAAATTGACGAAAATGACCAAAATCGTTAAATTATTGAAACATGAGGGACTAAATGTTTTTTTTAAACAGGGGATCAAATATGGAGTTAGTGCAAATTTGAGGGGTGAAAATTGTAATTTTCCCGAAATTAATCATTAAATTAACATAGGGAAAAATACAGTTTTCATCTCTTAAGCTTGAATTGCTTTCATATTTGGTCCCTCATGTTCACAAAAACACATTTGGTCCATCATATTTCGAAAATTCAACACTTTTTGCCATTTAAGTCAATTTTATGTTAAAACTAACGTAATCAAACATGTGTCTATCACTACCGTAACTGATGGACTAAGGGTAAATCGACGGAAATAACTAAAAGTGTTCAGTTATTGAAACTTGAAGGACCAAATGTATTTTTTGTAAACATAAGGGACAAAATGTGGAATTGCTGCAAACTTGAGGTGTGAAAACTATAAATTTCCCAATTAACATACTTATGATTAATTAGAGATTAATTAGGCCAAACGAGGGTTCCCAAGATAAAATTAGTCTAGATAAAATTAAATAATATAGTGAAATCCAATTGTATTATTGGAAATGCATGATAACATAATATTTGCGGGTCCTGTAGTTGGGAAGATTGACAGTTATAACTAAATAATTGGATTTTATTTGATATTTGATATACCAATAACTTGTCCGATCGACAAATATTATATTTATCATGGCTTATCTGGTCTTTTAGGTAGTTTTTCTGTCGAATGTTTTAGGGTCCAATAAAATAATTGGTCGTTAAATTATTTAATGTTATGTTGGCTAATCTTATTTTGACAACAAGGATTAATAATTTGAAATTTATGTTCCATTAATTTTAATTCTAATTTTAATCTTATATAGTTTGTTATTTCTTAATTTTTCAATAATATGAATTTCAAGCTGAAAAATAAATATATTAAATTAATACACACATAGTCATTTTAGTTTTTTAAATTTTGTTTAAGATAAGCCCTTTCTTGCATGCAACATTTATTATTTTTCAATCATACAAGATGCCATCCTTGTTAAGACAAGGATGCAAACCCTATAACAATAAATTAAATAGATGTGACTTGCCAAAGCTTGAATTGAGAGAATTAATATGATTGGTTTCAAGTTTCAAATATGATAAGATTGAATTTTCACAAGGAAAAAAAAAAATGATGAAGCCTTATCTCGATACTTAATTTATGATGACCGTTCGTCAAAACTTCGTTTGAGCTTACTTTATTAACATAATAAACAAAACACATGTTCCCATTCGATAAGTTATAAAACTAATCCATTCAATTTCAATCAGAAAAGTATGTACGAAATATCAAGCTACTCGAGCTCGATTCCTGTGCATGCGACGAGCCGACGACTCGATTGCTTACTAAATCTATAGTTCTTCAAACACAATTTTAAAAGCTCGATAAAAATTCAGAACAAGTTAGTTATGATCAAACTCGAACACAAGTGCATGAAAACAAAAGTCACCATCATTTATTATCAACAAAGAACTCCAAATTTCTCATCCCACCATCATGTAGTCATCACTAGTTGAATAAAAACAAACAATTGGTGCATATAAATACACAAGCTTTCAAGTGTTCTTTCAAGTGTAATTGCATCATCAATTTAACTTACTACTACTTCCTTTTGAGGTTGTCTTAATCCACTATAGCTTATAAGTTCATTATAAGTTACCTATCCATCTTTAATTTCTTTTGTCCTAAAAATAAAAAAAAAATCAAAAAAAAAATGCAAAAAGCTTGGTTTTATGAAGAACATGGTCCAAAAGAAGTACTTAAGCTAGGAGAATTACCAATTCCTACACCACGGGCTAATCAGCTGCTAATCCATGTTTATGCAGCAGCCCTTAATCCAATCGATTTTAAGCTCCGCCAAAATCGATTATCGTCTCTCGATTTTCCAGTACGTCGTCGTTTTGGTGTTTAATCTCTTTTTTTTTTCACATGCAACGTTGATTATGATTATTGATTGCAATTAATTTATTTATTTCCCAGGTTGTCCCCGGGTGTGACGTGGCAGGTGTGGTAATAGCAAAAGGAGAGGAAACGTGGAAATTCCAGGCCGGCGACGAGGTTTACGGGAACATACAGAAATTCGGATCGGGAAAACTGAAGCAGATCGGCACCTTGGCGGAATTCACCGTCGTGGAGGAGAATCTGGTGGCGGAGAAGCCGGGAAATCTGTCGTTCGAGGAGGCGGCGAGTCTGCCCGTGGCGGCGCAGACGGCGGTTGAGGGGTTTAGAACCGCCGATTTTAAGAAGGGGCAGTCGGTGTTCATAGTTGGCGGCGCCGGCGGAGTTGGAAGCCTGGCGGTTCAGCTGGCTAAGTATTTTTACGGGGCTTCTTTCGTCACCGCCACCACCAGCACCGGAAAAGTGGAGATGGTGAAGAAATTGGGCGCCGACAAGGTGGTGGATTATACGAAGACTGCGTATGGGGAAATTGAGGAAAAATATGATCTCGTTTATGATACTGTTGGTAATCATCTTTTTCAGTTTTCAGTCCCTCTATTATGGAGTTTTTTTCAATTTAGTACTCTATGTTATATCTAATTGCTAAAAAATCCTTTTATTACAAATATTAGTCAAGAAAACACCTAAATAGTGAGTTTTTACTTTTTAGTATGCGTGTAAATTGGAATGAAATTTTCAAATCAGCCGATTTTGATCCTAATTTTTTTTTTAGATTTTGGAACGAGTTTTTTGAACTAGTTTTTTCGTTCCAATTTTCGAAATTCCAATTTCTATTTTTTAGAACTGTAGTTTCATTCTATCTTTTAAATTCATTTTTTTTTTCAAAAGTGTTAATTTCGATCCTATCGTTCGATATTCGCCCCTAGTTTTTAGGGTAATTTGCTAAAAGGATTGCATCCTTTTTAGCTAATATTTATGATACGGATAGTTTTTAGCAATTAGACTAAATAAAGTGGTGCTGGATGCAATTAATTAACTCTTCTACCATGTCTTGAAATATTCTTTTTGTTCATCTTTCTTTCTGATATGTATCTATTTTCATGTTACTAATTTTGTTTTATTCTGTTTTGATTCTTTTTTAGGCGATTCGAGGAATTCATGTGTTGTGGCTAAGGAAGATGGTCTAGTCATAGACATAACATGGCCTCCTTCGAATCCTAAAGCTCTTCATTCAAGTTTGACAGTTTCCGGTGAAATATTGGAAAATCTAAGGCCGTGTTTGGACAGCGGAAAACTAAAAGCAGTAGTTGATCCGGCCGGTCCTTTCGACTTCAATAATGTTGTCCAGGCTTTCGGGTATCTAGAAACGGGGCGGGCCAGGGGCAAAGTTGTCATTTCCTCCTTCTCCTCACTTCATCTTGCCACTGCAATAACTTGCAATGCTAATAATGGATTTCACTAGCACAAAAATTGGACTTTAAGAGAACCAAAAAAATTGCACTTGCTTTAAATGTACCTGAAATTTGTAATATAGTACAAATGAATGATTATATTATAGATAATATGGTAAATTACAGCCACCTCCCTAAGGTAAAGTGGAACTACAGAAAAACCCCTCCGTTGGAGAATTTACATCCATAGCCCTGGAGTTTGTAAAATCCGTACACTCACCCCCTCTAAAGGGTGTTAATGCAATAAATCTACAAACTGTAAGGGTGGATGTAATTATGACAAAAGTGAGGGGTTTTTTCGTAAATGAGAATAATGCCACTGGGTAATATAATTCACTAATTCTTGATCTCAAGATATACTATTATTTATCATCAGATTTGAAAGGTCCTGATCAAATGAACAAACCGTTGACTAATTTTAGGAGAAAACACCATTTTATTTTATTAATTTTATTTATTTATTAGCATTATCCTGTGATTGGAACGTGGGAAGAGTAGTTTGTCACATTGCATGTTGTAATATACTAGGTTTCATTTTCAGTTATATATATGTGTCCACTTGCATAAACATCACTGTCTGTACATTGTATTAGAATAAGTAAATTAAAAACTAAAAACAATTTTAATTTCATTTAAATGAAATAAAAATTCATGTGTTGATGATTGCTAATAATTTCTTGATGAGATGATGAGTATCCTTTACACCCTCCTCTGCGTTATAGTAGCGGCGATTCTGCTTATTTTCGGCCTCGTTTCAGCTCTGTTTCTCAAGATATTCGTCGGAAAATCCGTAAAAAGTTCAAAATACCCTCCCGTTGTAGGTACCGTCTTCGATCAGCTCTTCTACTTCAACAGGCTCTATGACTACCAAACGGATAAAGCCAGAAAACATAAAACATTCAGGCTTCTAGCTCCGGATGAAAGCGAATTATACACCACCGAACCGAGAAATATCGAGTATTTTCTCAAAACCAACTTCAATAACTACTCAAAGGGTCAACGGAATCAAGAAATTTGGACGGAGTTGTTCGGACAGGGAATCTTTGTAGTAGATGGCGACAGGTGGCGACAGCAGAGAAAACTCGCGAGCTTCGAGTTTTCGACGAGAGTTGTTAGAGATTTCAGCTGCTCTGTTTTTAGGAAAAATGCAGCTGAATTAGTCCGCACAATCTACGAATTCTCTAAGCAAAACCAAGTTTTCGATGTGCAGGTAACTTTTTTTTTTAATATATATTTATGATTTATTTCATTGATTTTTTTTATTTATTTTTTTTAATTTTTGGGTGAAGGCTTTGTTGTTGAGATGCACTTTGGATTCAATATTCAAAGTTGGTTTTGGAGTTGACTTAAATTGCTTAAAAGGGTCAAACCAAGATGGGAACGATTTCATAAAGGCGTTCGACGATTCGAACGAATTATGTTATTGGCGTTACGCAGATCCGTTATGGAAGATTAAGCGATATTTCAATATCGGCGGAGAAGCAATTTTAAAGAAAAACATAAAATTCATACACAACTTCGTCGATAATGTGATCTCAACCAAGAGACAACAAATCGAAAATGAACAACATTGTGTAAGTACTATATTTAATTTATTTATTTTTCAATGATTTCTATATATTTATCTCATTGTTTCATTTTTTTGAATGATTAAAAGAATGAGAAAAAAGACATATTATCGAGGTTTCTGATGGAGAGCGAGAAGGATCCGGAAACAATGACCGATAAATACTTGAGGGACATAATTTTGAGCTTTATGATTGCTGGAAAAGACACTACTGCAAACACTCTTTCTTGGTTTATTTATAGCCTTTGCAAGAATCCACTAATACAAGAAAAAGTCGTGCAAGAAGTCGAAAAAATCATTAATTCTTCAGAAAATAATATTAAAGACAGTGTCGATGATTTCGTCGAAAGAATTACAGACGAAGCAATTGACGACATGCATTACCTTCATGCAACCTTGTCCGAAACCTTGAGGCTCTACCCTGCCGTACCAGTGGTAATATATCAATCGAAACATGAAATTTAAATAAATAAATAAATATAGATTAATTGTTTTTGTTATGCATTAATTTTTTGTTTAGGATGGGAGATGTGCTGAAACAGATGATATTTTACCTGATGGATATAAACTGAAGAGGGGCGATTGTATATACTACACGGTGTACGCGATGGGTCGAATGACTTACATTTGGGGCGACGATGCCGAAGAATTCCGACCAGAGAGATGGATTAGTAACGGTGTTTTTCAACCCGAGTCGCCTTTCAAATTTGTTGCATTTAATGTAAGTAGTTTGTTTATTTATTAATCGAGAAGTGGTGGTGGGGACCGCGGCCCCCCGGCGTTGGCTTATGGTTTGTGATATGATTTCGATTTTTTTATTTTTTTTCAAGCTGGGCCGCGAACTTGTTTGGGGAAAGATTTTGCTTATAGACCAATGAAGATTGTGGCAGCAGCTCTTGTGCACTACTTTAAGTTCAAATTGAGTGATGAGAAGAAGAAGGTGACTTACAGAACTATGCTTACACTACATATCAATGGAGGCCTTAGTATTCATGCAGTTCCCACAACATAGTTGTTCATAGTTTTAAATGTGCTCGCATATATGTATGAGAGAGAGTGAGAGAGAGAGAGAGAGAGAGAGAGAGAGAGAGAGAGAGAGAGAGAGAGAGAGAGAGAGAGAGAGAGAGAGAGAGAGTGAGTTGTTTTTTGTTTATTTTGTTTTTGTTATAATTTTATTTGAATATTGATGTTCTCTTATAAATGATCATTGGGAAATCTAGTTATGAATTATGTTGAGATTTGATCTAATTACGAGAAAAATCTATAATAAAATCACGCTATTATACCGTGGTCAATAGTAAAATTGCGGATGAGCATAATGAATTTATCGAAAAGTCGCTACCTCAACCAACATCAACAAAATATTCGCCACACCCAAGATTTCTCCGACTATTTATAGCGGGGAATATTGGGAATTGGAGGTTTCATGTGGCGGAATTTGCCAAGGGGGCAGGGAAAATGAGTGTGGAGTTCGAGAAGGGAGTGAACGATGTAGTGAAAACATGTAATTAAGATATATACGAAGAAGATGATGACGTGGAGGAACATGATTGGTGGAGAAAAAAAAAAGTAGGTTTGACGGTTTTGCCCCTAAAAAATCACGCATAATTGGCACACTCGCATTTCAGGTAAAGTTTTTTGGCGGGAAATAGTCGCTTTCGTGATCGGTGATCCAATTAATAGAGTTTAGGCGGGATCGTGCAACTGTTTCCAATTGCAATGTGCCAAACGTGTCAAATTCAAAGTTCGGTAGGCAAAATGCCATTAAACTACCAAATTAATGTTTTAGTTATATATATAGAATCACATCATTTACACACCTTCAATCAAATTCAATCTCCATGGATTTTCCAACATTTCTACTCGTTATCTTCTCCGCCTTGTTAATATATTCAATCGTTCAAATTTATAATTACAGGGCCCGGAAATGGTCGAAACTACCTCCGGGCCCGTTTCAGTTTCCGATAATCGGAAACATCCTCGAACTCGGGCGTAATCCCCACCGATCGCTCGCGGAACTTTCTAGAAAGTACGGTCCGGTGATTTCGTTAAAGCTAGGGAGAATAACGACAATAGTAATCTTCTCCCCGGAAACAGCAAAAATCGTGCTTCAGAAACACGATCTAGAATTCTCCAGCAGAACCGTTCCGAGTTCCGGCGGGGCCCTCGGCCACGGCGGATACTCGGTGGCTTGGCTGCCGGTGGGGGATCAGTGGCGGAAGCTCCGAAGAATATGCAGAGAGAGGATTTTCTCGGCTTCGAAGCTCGATCTGAGCCAGGGTTTGAGGAGAGAGGAGGTGCGGAAGCTTCGCCGCCACGTGGCGGAGTGCTGCGAAACGGGTCGGGTCGTGGATATTGGGGATGCGGCTTTCACGACGTCGTTGAATCTGATGTCGGCGACGCTTTTCTCGACGGAGTTCGCCCGGTTCGGTTCGGATTCGTCGGCGGAGATGAAGGGTGTGATGCGCGGCGTGATGAGGTGCCTCGGCGAGCCGAATCTGGCCGATTATTTTCCGGTTCTGAAGTGGGCCGATCCGCAGGGGATTACGAGACGGGCGAGGGTTTATTTTGAGAAGATGTTCGCCATTTTTGATGGGATAATTGATGAGAAGTTGAAATCCAGGGGTGGGATTGAGAGAGATGATTTGTTGGAGGCCCTTATTGAAATTAACCGAAGGGATGAGGCTGAATTGAGCATTAACGATATTAAACATCTACTTCTGGTGAGTTTTATGTTTTCTGATTTTTCGATTATATTTCTTTTTAGGGTAAATTACAACCAAACCCCTGAACTATGGTCAAATTATGTAAAAATATCTCGTGTTTGGATAATTATAACTACCCATCAACTACGAATTTTCTAACACATCCACCCTTATGGTGTCAAATTCAATGTAATCTTCTAGATTTTGTGGAATGTTCTCTAATTTGTACTCGTTTTGTGCAAAAAATACAGTTTCTGATGCACCACAATCTCATATATATGCAAGCCAAAAAATACATTTTATGATCATCTTGCTTCAAAATGTGGAGCTCGAACGGGATGAAACGGGTATAAAATTGAGAATATTTCATATAATCTACAAGATTTCACTAATTTTGACATTGCAAGGGTGGACGTAAGAAGATTATAGTTGATGGGTGGTTGTAATTACCCAAATATGAGGGGGTTTTTATAATTTGACCATACCTCAAGAGTTGGTTGTAATTTACCTTTTTTTTTTAATTATTTATTCATTTTTCGATTTTTTGAATTATTTGGGATATAAATTTTTACATTTGGATCAAAAAAATAATTAGGATATATTTCTGGCGGGAATGGACACCACAGCAGCAACAGTGGAGTGGGCAATGACAGAGCTACTGCGAAACCCTAGAAAAATGTCGAAACTCCGGGACGAAATCAGAGACATCGTCGGAGAAAACAAACGGATGGAAGAATCCGACATCCAACGGCTCCCGTACTTGCAGGCGGTGGTCAAGGAGTCGTTAAGGCTTCACCCACCGGGCCCTTTCTTAATACCCCACAAGGCTGAAGCCGCCGGCTTAGAAATCAACGGCTACAAAATCCCTAAAAACGCACAAATCCTCGTCAACGTGTGGGCGATCGGAAGAGATTCCGCCGTATGGCCGGAGGCCGACTCGTTCTCGCCGGAGAGATTTTTGGACGGCCAGATAGACTTTAAAGGGAAGGACTTTGAGCTTATTCCGTTTGGGTCGGGTCGGAGAATTTGCCCCGGTTTGCCGTTGGCTTGTCGAATGGTGCCCTTTATATTGGGGACTTTGGTTGGCGATTTCGGGTGGGAAATTGAAAATAGTATGAAACCTGAGGACTTGGATGTAAATGAGAAGTTTGGGATGGTGATGCAGAAGGAAATACCTCTCATGGCTGTTCCAATTACCAAACTCTGAGTTTTATATTTGTTCATCAATTCATAATATTGTAACATAAAAAGAATTATACAAAACATTATTTATATTTAATTGTCAAAAATAAAATAAAATTATACAGACATTATTTATATGAAAAATATCTCTAAATATAATTTTCGATAAAATAAAATTAAATCAAAGTTACAAATCATAATATCGAATGATTTATGCAATTAAATAACATTAATGAGTGGTGGTAGCTTCTTGTGGTGAATCCTGGGTTTTAGGAATGATTAATAACTTGTTATTACAAGTGTCTTCATCTTTGCTTTTGCCCCATAGAAGAATATACATGCCCACAATTACCACAACTGATCCTAAAATGCTGCCCCAAGCAAATATATATCATTAATTAGGAAAAAAGTAAACAAAACAATTAAATAAGTAAATCAAAACTTTAATAAACTAAACTAATCTTCTCAACAACATATTTAAATTTCAAACACCCTAAAAAATAAAAGGGTAAATTACGCCCACACCCTGAGGTAAGTTCATATTACGAAAACAATCCCTCATGTTTTGGGTAATTACAACTACCCCTCAACTCCGAAGCTTCTTACATGTCCACTATTGCGGTGTCAAATTTAGAGGAATATTCTAGATTATGTGCAATATTATTTCGTTTATGCTCGTTTTATCCCATTCGAGCTCCATATTACAAAACTAAATGATCATAAGATGTGTTTTTTGGCTTGTAAATATCAGATTGTGAAAAATTAGAAACTGCATTTTTGCACAAAACAAGTACAAACTAAATAACATTCCACGGAATTTAGAAGATTCTGTTAAATTTGATACTATTAGGGTGAAAATGTAAGAAGACTCATACTTGTGGGGATGTTTGTAATTACCCAAACATGTGAGAGTTTTTTATAATTTAACCGTACCTCAGAGATGGCCGTAATTTACCCAAAATAAAAAACAAAAAATTGTCACAATAAATATATATAAAATAAAATATGCTCACCTTCCAAAATAAATCTTTTCATGCAGAACTAAAACATCCAAAACAGCAGCAAAAACTTGTATCAGTGGACTAAACGCCGACGTAAACACAGCTCCCCTTTGTTTCACACACCATGACATCACCACATAGCATATACCTGATCCCACAATACCCTGCATATATTACACATATAAATTATTTCAATAAGTATATATATTTCATATGCCTTTATATAAATTCAAAAAATTCAAAAAATAAAAATAAATAAATAATACTTACACCATATAGAACACTAATAATCTGCAACTCTCCTTTAGGAATCCACTTGGAAAAATTTCTATCAGTCACAACGAAGCACAAAACAGCTGATTGGACGGCGCTAAATAAAGACATGATCCACGTGCTCGAGTATCGGTATGGAAAGTTGTTTCCGATTTTCGACTGTATAACAAACCACGAAGACCAAGCAATGCTGCCTGCAGCTAGAAATGCCGAACCGGTTCCGTATGATGAAGACGACGACCCCTTTGTCTTATTTATATTTTCATGGTTTGTTGTAATTACGATATTGCCCCTAGGGTTTATCACCGCGGCGCCTTTGTAGAGTAAGAGTACTAAGGCACCGGCGGTGCAAATCAATGCCCCGAGTATTTTTGCTTTTCCGTTTTTGCCCTTCGTGTTTACTTTCTCCATCCTGATATATATATAGAAAAGAAAAGCATAAATGGATCGTCAATTATTTATATGTTGCACGTGGTGAATGTGCGTAAAGATATGCGTTGATTCGGATACACACACGCACATGGGTGTGTGTTTGTGTGTTTTTGTATAGGGCTAACAATCTTCTACAAAAACGTACTATAATTATTTTTTGAAGTAATGTAATATTATTAAAAAGAAAATTTGTTTTATTGCATTCAACACCCTTTTGTTGACTCTAACTGTTAAAAAAGTCCTCATGTTATTAATATTATCAAACACCTCCCTATAATCCAATTATTTTAGCAAATTGCCCCCTACAACTCGCCATTTAGGGGATTGTAATGAAAAAAAAAGGCATCATAAGGGGTTATTTGCTAATATTAATAACACAAGCAACTTTTAGCAATTTGATATAATGAAAGGGTGCTAAATGCAATAAACTCAATTTTTGGATTTATTAATTTGGCCCCATCAAGAATAGAAAATTCTGGTTCCGCCACTGATCGAACTTACCCGAGAGGCAATGCTAAGATGAATGTAATAACCGGGACCATATTTATGAAAGCACAGGTGAATGTTGCTGTTGTATAATCAAGCCCAACCAAGAATAGGTACTGAGTTAGTGTCAACCTGGAATTAATAATAATTATTATCATCGATCATAATAATAATTAAATCAAAATTTTAATTTATTATTTAATAACCTTAAACATAAAAAATAAAAACAGTAAAAAAATAGACAGCTTCATAAATTATTATTACCCGAGCAGTGCACAAAGGAACATCTGACCAATCACACAAGCTGTCAGCTTAACCCAACTCGTCCTGAATTTTTTTTTCATTAGTATTTATTAAATTCACATCACATAAATAATAATGCAATATTAATAAAAATGAATGAATTAATGAATACCTTTCGAAGAAATAGACGAAGGGGATCAAGAAGACGGTCGAGATCGATTGTCTGTAAACAAGAACAACGACAGGGTCCATCCCTCCGACAAGTGCTTTCTTGAACAATATGTTTACTACAGCTAAACCGAATTCGACACTCACCATTGCGATAAATGCCTTCCATTTTTCTACGAAATTCATTTTCTTTTTTTCTTTTTTTCTTAATATTTAATATATTTAGGCGGCCTAAGATTTATATATAGAGGAGCTCCCATCCTTCATGCATGGTGTACATATGAGTAAAATCTATTATATTCCCTGAGAATATTTTACCTATAAAAAAATTAATTACCAATATATATTCACCACTTGTATACTATACATACATCATAGAATCGATAGATATAACATTTAAAAGTTGATGAATATATATTCTGTGTTATATATATCATCATCCACTGACCTCAGAAAACTGATGTGAGGATGGTGATGAGGATCCCATTCAGGGAGGGGCAGACCTAAAGGTGGATTGAGGGTGGGCCCCGCCCCATCGGTTTTGTAGATGCTACACCCGATGAAAAATATCGGGTGATTCATCATTGATCTGCATATAATACACACATCCATGTGTATGTGTGCTTAGTGTGTAGTTATTTGTATAGTTCTATGGTGTAAATCCACCTGGTGTACTTCATCGAGTATAGCATCTCATAGAACACCTAATAAATTTATTTTTCAACAATTTTTTTTTTAATTTATTATTTATCTATTAATTAATGGACCTTCGTGCCCCAAAATCTTTAATTGTATACATTTTTAATCTAAAAAAAATTATTCTCTTAAATCAGCACATATTCTAGGCCTCGGTCCGCATGCATATTAGTATATTATAAGAATGTGTGTAGTAGTCAAATATTAGTCAATTATGTATAAATTAATACATAGTGTACCTAAGATTAATTAAAAAAAAAGGTTTAATTATAAAAAAAAAATACAAAGAAAGGTGATCGAGCATCCATGTAAAGTAGTTGATTTGATGTATAGAGCATATATATATCACTTTTGGTCATGCATAAATATATAAATATGGTATAGCATCTAATACTTGTTTTGGAATAGAGACCAAGTCTTTATAAGTGTACGTATATATTTGGTAAGTGGGAACAAATGTGTCTAATCTTGGCATCACACCCAATTAAGCACATTATATCATGACCTAATTCTGTTTATCTTAAAAATAAGTTAATTTAATTTTATATTATACTAAAAACACGTTTTATAGTTAAATGAAAGTTTCATTTGTTTGTGTGTTTCTAAATAGGGGGAATTGACTAAAACTCGCTCAAAAATATTTTGTATACCCAGCAGTCGAATATCTTGAATTTGCTAAAAGTCCCTTGTGAGTTGTGACAGTTTAGTTGTACAGCTTAGTGATATACCTAATTGGGTCAACCGAATGGGCCTACAATTTCTTTATTTAATGGGCCACGAACCCAATATTTAAGACCACTATCACCGAGGCCCAATCACCTTCAAGTAAGGTTTGGGCCCGACAATCTCAACTAAACTATAAATAAAGGTTTGAACTCAATCCTTAAGGTACGCCCTATTATCCAAATAATACTAGGGGTCATATTCTCCCAACTATTTCTACGATCCGCACGTCTGACTTGAGCGTCGGAGGGGTTTCCGCCGGATCAACCCCGGCCTAGTTCACGTGTTCTTTGTTCGCAGGTATCTCAGGGCCATCTAGCACGTGAGCAGTGACCCACTTGGCTTTCCCAGCTCTCTCAATCTCAACTATCTAAGGTGATTTATTTTTAGCATCATCACTTAGATTGAAAATAAACAACTTAATTGGAGAGTTTAGACTGAAAGTTGACAGACAAGTTGGAGAAAATTACTTTTTAGACACCTTAGATGATTTTTTTTTTATTTACTTACAACTTACAAGCACCGCATATGTAGATGATTAACCATAGAGATAAAAAAAGATATTGCAACAGTGAAATCAAATATTTTTTCAAAAAATAAATAAATATAGGAACTATCTATTATTTATCGAAAAAAGAAAAGGGCCTATTAATAAATATAATAATAGTGTTCTTGAAATTAGCCTAGGAGGCCCAATTCCCTTGTAATTGTAGATGGGCCGTTACACTCAGTGGAATAATACAGCCCAATACTTCAGCCCACCGGGCTGGTGTAAATCACATTATTGTTATTATTATATTATTTATTATTACTTTTAATAATTTAAATGCTATGAGTATGAGAAAAAAAAAATTATGGCTAAAAAAATTAAAAATAAATAATGAATGAATAACTAACTCTATATTAACCTCTCGTGGAGTAATGACTTATTTCTAAACAAATGAAAATTATGTGGGGAGAATATGTTTTCAATGCCTAAAAAAATGTCTTTATTCGATTAATTTAGAAGCTGCAATATTTGCAAATCAAACAAACATTAATTTTCCATTTTTCTATAAAGTATTAAATGACATGATAAAAAAGATTTAAATAAAAATGCACACCCGTTGTCCCTTATTAATGTCGTTTTGGGGTGTTTTTTTGTCCCTAATTATTTGTCATTTTTATTTCGAAAAAAGAATTATTTGTCATTTTAGAGTTTTAATAAAGTATTAATTGCATTTTAATCAATTTTGTCCCTTATCACTCTTAATTAGTTAATTAAAAAATGACTAATGACCAGGGTATTATTTACAGTATTATTTTTGATATAATCTATGCATATTTATTGACTATTTTAATCTACTCGTAACCACCGAAAACGACATAATAAATGATTGACATAATATTATTTATTTCCAGAAACCGTAACAAACGCCATCAAACAAGTTGTTCCTGCACCCCACATCTTATGAAATGTGGTCGAATTTAAATTATCTATGTATTAGGATTTGCAATTATAATATATATTATTTTGTAAGGGTAAATTACAAACACCCCTGATGGATGGGCAAATTACTAAAACACCCCTCTTGTTGGATGATTACAACCACCCACTTCAACTCATCAAA